CAAAGACGTTTGGGCACGGAGGTGAAAAAAAACAGCGTTTCAGGCGGTCGCACACCGGACGAAAAGCGCAGTGTTGTGTCGCGCCACGTCTTTAAAATTCAAATACTTTCTTTTCTGTGAGTGTAGGCACACCGGCGGCGTCTGTCCGCGGCGCCGAGCTACGTCATGTTATACTTGTAAGAATTGTTCTAGACATGTCTGTGCAAGTTAATCCGCTGAAAAAAATTGTTTGTCTTGGTAATCTTTAATCAAAATCTGAACATTTACTTCCGCTTTGGAATGGCATTCCTTTTCTGATGACGTCAGTTTGACGGCTTGGGCAGAATATCCTTAAACACACCCCTCCAACCGTTAGATTGCTATGAGTGAGAGACAGAGAGGAGGAGCGCAAAAATAAAACCATGCCCTCTATTCTATATTCCGTTTCAGCTGGAAATACGTCACTACACTGGACTTAAGTGCTGCGTCCCAATGTGCCTACTGATACTACGCCCATAAAAAATTTACTTTTTTTGGTGAAGAAAAAGTACACACTTTTGAGTGTGTAGTAGAAGAGTAGGCAAGCTTTGGGACATACTTATAACATCATACAGTTGCGTGTTTAACGGACGCTCTGTCGCATTGCTTTTTATTCGTGTTTGTAGTTCTCATCCGAATCATTCGTCAAAGCGCAATGGATTGTGGGTAATATTAGCCATTAGAGTGTGCACAGATCCACACTTCAAAAATCGACCTGAAATAGTAGACCATCCGGCGACTTTTGGCATATTCTTTTCAACATACTGTGCTTTAGGACACACTAATTCTAATCTCACATACTATTTAGGATGGATAATATGAACATTGGGACGCAGGGTAAGATGAATTTTAAAAGTGGTCTAGAACCGCCACTGAATCGGAGCTGGATGTGATGACAGGCGGACTGTGATAAAGGCCTATTAGCGCACTCAGACGTGAAAGATAACTTAGTCTAGTAATCATGCGCTGTTTGACGGGATTTTTAGTGTGCGTGCACTTCAGGTGTACACGCTCAGGAAAAGTGCATTTCAGAACAGCTTGTGAATGAAATGTTTAACCGGCAAGGCTTTAAAACCCATGCAAATAATGCACTTTTGTAATAGCAAATAAGTACAGTGTCCCGTGAGTGTAACTCTACCGCTGAGTGAAGATTTGATGGGAATGTATATCACGGTGTATGTGCGCTGTAGTGTGATACTATGATAATATTCTTCAAAAGCAGATTGTGGAGACGTTTTAATCGTCCACGATCAAACATCGTGATATCGCACATCTCTAATTTGGTTGATTTATTAGTATTATTATTGTGTGGGATTTTATTGGTGACCAGGCAGGGATGTTCTTGAGCATTAGTTAGCATCATAATTAAAGGAATAGTCCACCAAAAAAATGACATTTCTGTCATCCTTTACTCACCCTCATGTCGTTCCAAAATTGTATGACTTTTTTTTTTTTGGAAAATAAAAGAAGATATTATGAAAAATTTTCGTATCCAAACAGTTTCAGTTTTTCTATTTCTGTTATGTGGACAAAAAAATACAATGGAAAGTGAAACTGTCAAAATATCTTTTGTTTTCTGCAGGAAAAAAAGAAACTCGTGATGAGATTTTTATTTATTTTTTGGCTGAACTATCCCTTTAATCTTTTCCTATTTTTTTCACTAGTGTTCCAGAGTTGCAAAGTATTTATATCCCTTCTGCATGTTACTACTGACGTGCGCTTTTTTTTGCACTATATGATGTTTAGAGAAGGGAAGAGAGGGAAATAGAATCCTGCAAACTGCCTTTTTTGCTCATCACACATTGTGATCGTGGCTCAGCACGTACTTTTATCTCCACTGTTGTTTTATTGTCATTTTGCCATCTTAATGGGATCGGTTGAGGAATAATTCTGAATAATATATGGTAATATTAAGATTTTAAAATTGTTTTCAGCTATGGCAGAGAATTGTGCATTAAGAAATAATCTCGTTTAGGTAATTGTGAAAATTAATAACGTTTTTTTCCTTAAAAAAAAAAAAATCTCAGAGCATAACCCACTCGCTCAAATGCATTACTCTGTTCCTGTGAGCGTGTTTGAGTCATCGGGGCAGAGAGCAGGACGGTATCATGCCTTTTATAGAGAGCGGCAGGCCTGAGTCTTTTTATTGACCAGAAGAAGCGTTTACTTAAGCCATGCAAACGGCAGCACGGCCCTTTTGTTAACACTTATAGCTTTCTTTTGAAATGCATCTGAAAAGGAAGAGCTCTAAGAAACCTCTGTAAAATGAATCCTCTCTTATCTCCTCTGACCAAATTCCACTGTGCGGTGGGAAACACGGACCGATGAGCAGTGATAGTTGTAATTAAGGTCTGATAAAAGGAAAAGAGCTATTTGGAAAAATGCTGTCAGAAGTGCAGGAAAAAAGTTATGTCCTCCTTTTCCAAGTCATCTACTTCATTAACCTTCGCTTTCAAACAGACATGCATCCAAGAGCTTATTTTAGTTGGTTTTCAATGTTCTACTCACAACAATGCTCACCACTGGCTTAAAAAGTTAAGCTTTATGTCTTACTCTGGATATTATATACACACATACATATACATATGATGAGTTCATTTGCAAAAACAGATAACTCCGTTTTTGACAATTCTCAGGAATCATGCTTTTTTTCATTGTGCATTCCAATTAATCTCAATCAAATTGCAGTTGGGTTATTTTGATTAAGCTAAAAAAAACAGCTAACTAACACAATAAAACACAATAAAAACATGATAACATAATAAAAAAAACATGATTTTTGAAAAAACAACTATATCAAATATCCCAAAAATATTTGTATATTATTTATTTTATTTTAATTTATTAGCGAATTTGCTTTCACCCCTCTAAAATTTAATTAAAACGTGTAGTTGCTGTCATGTTAATGAATTTGAAAGAAAATCACGTTGGTGCTCATTAAACTTTATCAATGTTCACATTTATGTCAAAATATTGAACATGACGTTAAAGTTACAGAAATAATTCTAGCAAAAAACAAACAAACAAACAAACAACATAATTCTAGAAATGGCTATCAAACCAAACTTAAGATTTTGCCCTATTATTTGTGGACTGCATTTATAGTGATACTATTTGATAAACTACAAAGCCTTTGAACGGTAAAGTTAACAATGTTTATCCGTCCCACATTCATGTTATATTTAGGCCCATGCTTCAAATTATGATTCTTGTGCCTTGTATAACTTCTGTAAATGGTGAATGTTGTACAGGTTAAGATGGTTATGAATCGCGCAAATGTACTGTAAGATATCAGTTAAAAAACACTATAGGCTATTACACTGATACGCAGGGGTCAAGAGCTTTTCTAGTGCTAAATAAACTTGTTTGGTATCGCCAGGCCAGCTTTGTGGTATATTGTATCTATGATTATGAACATTTTGGATGTTTTCTGTACAGTGGAGTTTGCTGATGTATATGCAGTCTTTTGGAAATATATGTACAGCTGAAGAGAGCTGCAACTCTAGCAAACATGCCTCATGTCTTTATTTTCTTTCCAAGTGCTGATGATTTTCTTTATTTTCATTTAGTGTCAGGCAGGCAATCTTATGTCTAACAGAAATGGCACAGTATGTCTGCAATGTTTTTTTTTTTCTCCTGTTCCTCTTCTTCAGAGCAAATTTAGTTTTTACAAATTAAACTAATATCCTGTTATTCCCACATATGCTCTTCTGTGTGTAAGAAATAAATCAGCTTACTCTTTGCACAAAACTGTAGCCAATAGTTCAATAGACATTTAATGATGAAAGTGTTAATTTCACTTTACACACAGTAATTCAGGATCATAAATGGCTGATGCAAAGTCCACAGTTGGTCTTATCTTAAATGGGCCCCTCCTCCTTCAGAACTTTCTTATCAAAGGACACATGAGTGACTAAAGATTCAGCCCTCGTAGCCATGGTAACCAAAAGGTTTGTTTGTTATTAATGCTGAATGGATCCTTAGAGCAACATTCAGAAATCTGAACCAAAAATGCATCTTAAGAAAATCCAATTAAAAGATTATACAACCAGGCATTCTAATATTGTGTATAGATATAGCCTATTCAGGCAATTACATTTTAGAAACGTCCTTTTGTCAGTAAATGTAGACATAATTGGTTGTCTGGCATCTCTGGCTGAAGGAATTAAACTCAATCAGTTTCCAGGAAGCAACAAAACAATGACTAGATTTGTTGAAAGGAAAGAAAGGGAGAAAGATGCTTTCAATGAGCCACAGTAATGCCTTACAACAGACCATACACATATTGTAGTTTATCTAGAAAACAAACAATTACAACTCTGTTGAAAATCAGTTTAATCTAATATGGCTAATGAATGGATCACGTGGTGGAGCGTATTTGCTAGAAGTGAAAGGAGTGTCTGGATTCTGAAGCAGCAGTATGAAATTCCCCTTAGACTTGGTAAATGAATAAACAAACATGAGTCCCACCTTCCTCCGCGCGCACTACTGGAGTATCAGCCAGTTTCCTGTGTTTTACACACTGTCACTCAACAGTCTAGTATCGCACTGTCACAGTCAACGGTCTGCTAGATAGCGCCAAACTGACATAATTGCCCTTGCATTTCGGAAATTGATAATAATGATTACGATTGTGTGTGCGTTCAGAGAGCACGCCAAAGTGAGACATCCTAAGTTTAGATGTGTGATGACGGAGATTCACTTACTGGGTTATTTGACTGACACCAAAATTTACACGGAGAATCTGGCCCTAATATCCTCCTAAGAAATAAAACGAACGTACAAAAAAATATTGAAATATTTTAAGTAGCTATTCAACAGGAAGCGAAGCTTGCTGGCGATGGATGTGCCCGCCAGGTTGTTTCGTGAATTTACGAATCCGATTCCTTAATAGCGACGGCTTCATGAATATTAATTAGGTAACTTGACTGGACGCTAATGGACAACGTCACCGGAAACCTAATTAATATTCATAAGCCAGGTCTCGACCATCCATCAGGTCTGCAATTTACCATTCGTAAATTCGTTTGCTGCGTGTTCTGGTTTAAATAAGCGCTAATTTTTATAATATAAGACTGGAAGTTTTCAACAGCTAAATACTAAGAGGTGTCAGTAGGATGGTGCTTGGACGTGACCTTTCAGTTAATCCGGAGAAACGATGATTTGACTAATATGAGATACAACATTTTCTTGGTAAGTGAATCCAACATTTATTTAATTTGTTTTATACAGTATACTTCCGTGAATGTCTTTATAGAGAAAGTTTAAAAGTTTAGTTTGCTTCATGACGCGTTAAATTGAGACGTGTTTGTTTGGACTGGTCGATGGCGATAAACGACCTGGCACTACAGAAAAAAAACTTGAACTTGTAAATAATTAGAAAATGATCTTAAAAATATATTATCTATATTAAGACCAGCATCTCTAGATTTAGAGAGACTTTATCTCTCTCTAGATACAGGTCCTCATAAACCTTTAGACTGTTTTAACATGGAATGGCAATGACTTGTTCAAAAAGTATTGTCCTGACAAAATTATATAAATGTATTTAATAAAGTTATAAATTAAAATAAGATTTGGACAATTATATATACAGTGTTTTGACATATAATGGCAATAAAATCTAATTTACCTAGGTAGAAATAAAAGGACAGTTCATAGTCTGAATTTACTTAAATACTGAGGTACTTAAATACTGAAGATCATTTCCAAAACATCTTTATACAGAGAAGGTTCAAAACCTTCAACTCTAGACCCATAGGAACCAAGTCTTTAGTTTCTAACAAATATAAACAAACCTATGCCTAAGACATAAATTAAAGGTTTACAACAATAGGTGTCCGTATAAGATCCAACACCACTTCATCCCAAACTATAATTATTGACCAGAAAGCCAGGCTTTTTTAAAGATGTATATGTTGCATATATAATCCTTTTTTTTAAATGTTTCTTCTGTGTGTAGGTTTTTTTGTTACTAAATCTCATACATGCTGCTAAAAGTCACTTGGATCTGGCCTGGGCTCAAAGATCCATAAAGAACAGATCAAGCCGAGATGTTTCCTGCAGAGAGGGCATGGAGTATGAACATGACAACATCTGCTGCCTACACTGCCCTGCTGGTCCATAAGAATTGTTTTAATCCTTTTATTCGGATTAGACAATGTCTTCTTGTATGTGCACTCACATTCCACCGTCTCATCTTTTGCAGGAACATATGTGAAAAAGGCCTGCCTTACTGTTTCAGAAAAAGGAGTGTGTGAGCCATGCGAGTTTGACACATACACTGAGCATGACAATGGACTGCGGAAGTGTTTATCATGCAGCAAGTGCCGTATAGGTATTTCTGTTATTTGGAAAAATCAATATTGTCCCATGCTGTCAAGTCTTTTAGTTTTACGCAAATTCTTGTAACATAAAACCTTTAAGGTTATTCAAGCCAAATCAATGTTGTGTTCACACAATGTTCGACTTCCGTTAGGCATATTTCTTTGTAAATTGCATTCTATTTGTGTACATTCATTACTTCTGCAGATCACGAAACCACAGCGAAATGCACAAGTACCCAGAACACACGGTGCAAGTGCAAACAGGGGTCATTTTGTTTACCTGACCAGGCATGTGAGGTGTGCAAGAAATGCAGTAGGTATGTTCTCAATGTAATATTTTGGGTAACAATTAACGCAGGTTTTGGTAAAAAAAAGTCTCACACCGTGTCTACACCGGATGCGACAGTTGTTGCATTGCATTGTGCCGCAACAGCTTGAGGCTGTCTACACTGGACGCGACAAGCGACCGTTGCATATCATTTGAACTTTCTGTCAGTACATAGAATGAGGCGTCAGTTTGCTGTCGGGGATTTGTCGTGTTGCGTCGCGCCACATCCAGTGTAGAGAGCATACTGATTATAATGGAATAGTATTTGTTGCACTGCGCCGCTGGCATCCGGTGTAGACACGGTGTCATGTTAATCAAGCTGGATTACTAGTTGTCCATGAATAGTTACCAAAAAATGAAAATGTTGAAGAATATTTGATCTAAGTATGTGTGTTGATCAGTGTTGGGCAGTAACTAGTAACTTAGTTACTGTAATAATATTACTTTTTGCAGTAACTAGTAGTGTAACTAATTACTAATAAGATTTCAGTAATAATATTATAGTTACCATCCATAAAACAGCTTAGTTAGTTACTTTTGATGTCTCAACCCTGCTGATTTAAAATCCAACAATCAAATAATTCCTAGATTTATTTTCATAATTTTCACGACTCGCACATACATGTGATGTCCCCAGTGCAGCAGGCGAGCTTGGAATATGGAAAAGCTTACATTCAGCATATAGAAATATTGCATTATATTGATGTTGTCAGGAAAAAAGATTATCTGAGCACTGTTGTGTAAGTTGTAGCTTTACTTTACTCTGGCATTACATCCCACCCACATCCCTCTGATCAGCATGTGGTACATTATATTACTATAATTAAAAATCTTTTTGGAAAATTAAAGTTTCTTACAAACTTAATGAAATATAATCGTATATGGGTAACGGAGAAATGACAATTAGCTTCAAGCTACACATGACAATTAATGAGATTAATACAACACTTCTACTTGAATGTCAATATCAATCACTAGAATTTTATGTGGAAGATACACAGTTACTTCTGTGGGGCGTGAAGAAAAAGTAATGTAACTAGTAGTGTAACTAATTACTGTTGCCAGAAAGTAATAAGTAAAGTAACAATATTACTTTTGAAATGAGTAACTAGTAATGAGTAATATATTACATTCTTTGAGTGACTAGCCCAACACTGGTGTTGATCAATATTTTAATGTTAATAAAAGTTAAATATGTTCATCATATAAAGTGACCATGCCTCTTCAGAAGACTTTAATTAAACAGCTTGATTCGTGTGGATTTCTTTTTTATGGTGTCTTATGAACATGTTAAAACATCAAAATTGTGGTGGAATAGACTTTAATGAAAGAACAGAAATCTCTCAGGTTTCATTAAAATATCTTTGTTTCGAAGATGAACAGACGTCTTATTGAAACAACATGAGAATGAGTAATTAATGTCAAGTTTAATTTTTGGGTGAACTCAAGATCATCTCTTTTGTTAAAACCAGATGCAAAATAGATGAAGAGACTGTAAAAAGCTGTACAGACATTTCCAATACCGTTTGTAGAAAGAGAAGCTCTTTGGGCAGCTCCAGCTCAGGTAATAGAAAACCCTTCTTAATCTATAGCCCAATGAAATTAACTGCATACATACTGTACTAGATGATTACAGCTGATCAAATGTAGTATTTATACAAGTAAAGGAAATTATAATTGTTCATTGATTAATCCCAACACTGCCTTTTGTGTTGTGTGTATAGACTTTGTTTCCATATAGTGTTTCACATGATTACATCCTATTTGTCCTACAGTGACTTTTATTGTTGTTGTGCCATTAATTGCAATGCTGGCAATCATTGTGGTTATCGTCTACTGGACAAAGTCAAAACCAAGTAAAACAGCAGGTAGACATATCTTGAAATCTTTTCTCAGTTCTTTCAGTATTTCTTCTTATTTCAGTTGTTTTTTTATTGCTTGTCACAATCTTTTTCAATTACAGTAACATCAAGAAGTCCAAGGGAAATGGAATCTTTTCTCAGTTCTTTCAGTATTTCTTCTTATTTCAGTTGTTTTTTTTATTGCTTGTCACAATCTTTTTCAATTAAAGTAACATCAAGAAGTCCAAGGGAAATGATTAAGATCTGTATGGTAGGTCAACAAAACACAGCTAATACATTTCTCAGCTTTAACCACAGAAACTCATATACATTTTGATGTAACACTGTGCACATGACCAACCAGATGACATCTTTCTTGTCCTGCAGGGTGACAGTGAGGAGGTGAAAGAGGAGTGGCAGAATGCCCACAACTCCATGATAGATGACTCCTCTCAACTCCAGCCGTTCCTTGAGCAAAACTATGCGGTGGGTACCAACATTCCTGATTCATCTCATAATTATAAACAATTTTTGCTCTGTTGGTTTGTCAGTCTTTGAGTGTCGTCTTGGTCAAAAACATCACTACCTGTGTTTTGTAATTACACTGAATGTTTAACAATTTCTCCTAGTTAAAATGGCCTGGAATAACCTTTGTTGTAACTGACTCACTGTGCCTTTAAGATGTTAAATTCTTCCATCTCTTTTAGGAAAGAGAGTCATTAAGAAAACTTGTTCCTTTGAATGGTAAGGCCATACCTTTTTCCTTACACAGTTTTATGTTGTTAACTTTCACATTACAGTGTGAGTAAATGATGACAGAGGCGAAGCTACGGGTGGGCGTGGGCCCACCCACTTTCCACTGTGGCTCACCCAAAGAGAAGTTGGTCATTTTCCAAACGGATGTAATTTATTAAATGATAATAATAATAAATGTCTTATTTCACTGTAACTTTATATATTTAGTTTAAAAAATATATTAAATGCGAGTTTTCATGGTCAATTACAGGCAGTTTCTACCACCATAAAGTTGGCTTGATGTTGGACATTAGATATTCGCAAATTTAGGGACCGTCTCTAAAGTTACATACTACATTGGTATTCAAGTTTCTAACTTCAATAGCATTTGAAGAGAATGACTTTCAGTCACACAACCAACTGTAAAGTGTTCATGTTGGTGTCAACTATAATGCACACCTTTTAGATTTTCAATATTTATTAAAATAACCTGTCAAATCATATGTAAAAATTGCTATTTTTTCATTACCGAATGGGCTCAAACACAAAATATAACATAATTTGAGCTTTAAATTATGGCATATTTTGTGTTTGAGCCCATTTGATAATGAAAAAATAGCAATTTTTACATATGATTTGACAGTTTATGTTAATATCAAAAAAATCTAAAAAGGTGTGCATTATAGTTGACACCTCCATGACACCATCTATCCAACCAGCACAAGAGAGAACCCCTATAAATAATCAAAGCAGTCTTACCTTCACTATCTTTAGTCTTTCAGCATTCGGTTTGCTCCTTTTGCCATTTTACCACAGACACAATTTCCCGTCCAACGAAGAGATCTATACTGGATATTTTTCGGATCCTCCGCCGCAATTTGCCAGCCCCAGGATCACTCTTTCTCCGCCAGACACCGCCGCCGAGCACCAGGCTTCATCGCGGCCGCCGCTCTGCTCGACCAGCCACACGCTCTCCACGATGCCGAGGCTTAACCTCGCCTCCACGGGCGAGATTTCCAACTTCTCCGGCATCCTCGTATCATTCGGCCGTGCAAACAATTCCTCCGATCGGAAAGTGGATAGTATTTAAGCCTGAGGCAAACGCTGATTAATTCCGACGCTCCGTTCTCGCGGAGGGTAAACAAAGCGGATCTGTACGACCTATTCGTCACCCTGAAATCAGTCAACCTCACTCCTAAATTCACTCCAGCAGGCGGCCAATATTTCGAGCAAGCTCGCAAGGCCCCGAACTCGCCTCGCTCGACACCACCATCGTCCCGCACAAGACCCGGCTCTCCTCGAGCGTCGGGTCGCAGCAGCAGGCCTCCAACGAGCCTGGGCCGCGTCCCAGTTCTTACCGCTGCAAGCCTCACTCGCTTCTCGCCTCGGCTCAATCTTTCCCCGCGGCTCTTCCGGCTGCCGCACCGTATGCAGCCGGGCCTCCAGCTCTCGTAGCAGACGCTAGCGCGAGGCTGGCGGCGCAGGCTGTGTCGCAAATTAACTGATTTTTAGGTGAAGTCGCTAAAAACAGGTTTCATGGCTAAAAGTTTGTTAAACGACGTTATGGCATAAACGGATGTCAATGCCATTTTGTAACCATGACACAAACTGCATAGAATACACAGTGAAATTACTCAAATTCAATATTTTCACTAGCATTTTATTTATATTTAAAATTAAACATTGTACTCAGATAGACGGATAGATAAGATGAAAAAGGTTCAACAGTGTACCTAAATGACTAACAATTATAGGTACAAACTAACAACTAAGGTGTATTATAAGAACAATTATTATTATTATTGAACAAGTGCAACTAGCAACTGGCACCTCTCTCCAAGTCTCTACCAGTTAATGTGCGCCCGCTCCGGCAGGAGCCTGTATCTTTACTTCCCACTGCTGCAGCAGTGCCCGCTTCTGCAGAAGCCACATTCTCTTTTCAGATTAAAGGACAGCAATTGTGAGAATTTTCTGTCGTCTTTCTAGGACTGTATTATGAACAGTGTGCAAAGTAAATATCTTTAGCAACAGCATGAAAGTGAACAGCACATTACTGCACAATTAACGTTACAGGTATAAACAGATGTCTATTGGTACAATATGCCACAATGTCACAAACTCTTCCACTTTCCCGCGGCCTACAGCAGCTGAAGCAGGTGTTGAGCTGCTTCCGCTTGCAACACAGGCCCTCACGTCTCAGTCTTTTCCTCCTGTTACTTCTAACCTCTTTTCACTCAGAGTTCTCCAGCTCCCGTAGCAGACACTAGCGTGAGGCTGCCTTCGCTAGCAGTGCAGGCTACACAGGCTCTCCAGCATTTTCCTCTGAATGTCGCACACCCCTGTGGCCCACACCTACAGCAACTGATGCAAGCGCGAAGCTGCTTCCGCTTGCAACACAGGCCCTCACATCTCAGTCTTTTCCTCCTGTTACTTCTAACCTCTTTTCCTTTTCAGTGGCCTCCAGCTCCCATAACAGACGCTAGCGTGAGCACGCCTCCGCTAGTGGTGCAGACCCATCCACAGCCCTTTCCTTACCCCACTCCCAACCCTCTCCCCTTCCCATGGCCTAAAGCTACAGCAGCTGAAGCAAATGTGAGGCTGCCTCCGTTTGCAACACAGGCCCTCACATCTCAGACCTTCCTCCTGCTACTTCTTACCCCTTTTTTCCTTTTCAGTGGCCTCCAGCTCCCATTGCAGTCGCTAGCATGAGCACGCCTCCGTTAATGGCGCAGACCCCGACGCCCACCATTCCCCCTCTCTTTCCCCCTCGTTCTTCCCCTCCCGTAGCCGTCCCAAGCGTGAGCATGACTCCGCTAGTGGCACAGACCCATCCTCAGCCCTTTCCTTACCCCACTCCCAACCCCCTCCCCTACCCACGGCCTGCAGCCCCACCGTCCAACCCTAGCGTGAGGCTGCCTCCACTGACAATCGCGGCTCCTCTCCCTCACCGCTCTACTTCATTTAAAAAAAAAAACTACGGGAGCACACATTCGGTCGGACTGCTTCCATATCAAAGAAGCTCACCGAACCCTCATCAGCCGACCCCTTTAACGCCAGTCCATCCATGTTCACTCGAACTCCAGACCCATCATAGCCATCCCTTTTAACACCACCAAATCCACCTATAGCAGCTTATCTCCACTTCAACCACTCCAGCAACACCCTGTGTTTTTCTGTTTTTCCCCACTGCCGCAGCAGTGTCTACTCCCACAGGAGCCTTTGTCTGTATTTCCCCACTGCCGCGCAGTGGCTGCTCCCACAGGAGCCTTATGTGTATTTCCCCACTGCCGCAGCAGTGTCTGCTCCCGCAGGAGCCGTTATCTCTCTTTCCCACTGCCGCAGCAGTGACTGCTCCCGCAGGAGCCTTTATCCGTATTTCCTCTCTGCCGCAGCAGTGACTGCTCCCGCAGAAGCCTTATCTGTATTTCCCCACTGCCTGAGCAGTGACTGCTCCCGCAGGAGCCTTTATCTGTATTTCCCCACTGCCACAGCAGTGACTGCTCCCGCAGGAGCCTTTTCTGTATTTCCCTACTGCCGCAGCAGTGACTGCTCCCGCAGGAGCCTTTGTCTGTATTTTACACTGCCGCTGTAGTGCTCGCTTCCGCAGAAGCCATTTTCTCTTTTGAGATGCCGTAGCAGTTCCCACTCCCACAGGAGTTTTCTTTTCAGATGCCGCAGCAGTGACTGCTCCCGCAGGAGCCTTTATCTCTCTTTCCCACTGCCGCAGCAGTGACTGCTCCCGCAGGAGCCTTTATCCGTATTTCCTCTCTGCCGCAGCAGTGACTGCTCCCGTAGAAGCCTTATCTGTATTTCCCAACTGCCGCAGCAGTGACTGCTCCCGCAGGAGCCTTATCTGTATTTCCCAACTGCCGCAGCAGTGACCTCTCCCTGGACAGCACGCCAAATACGCATAACCTTTACTCAGTTTATTATATGTAAGTGTGAACTCGTGAAGTGATGTTCTATTAACAAATTTCGGGAGGAGCACGCTCAGATAATTAACACGGCCAATCCATCATCAGTAATTACACCATCTATCCAACCAGCACAAGAGAGAACCCCTATAAATAATCAAAGCAGTCTTACCTTCACTATCTCTAGTCTTTCAGCATCCCTCCACCACCCGACTCCTCGCCTTCAGCCCATTCCTACCCCAGCACATGGAGGAGCACTCAGGGGGTGCGCTTTGGGTCCAGGCTAAAAACCGAGCTCGGACCCCTCTTCCCGGACAGGGGGAGTACCCCGGGCTTGAGAGTGATTACCGAGCTCGGAGCCCTCTCCCCAGACAGCACGCCAAATACGCATAACCTTTACTCAGTTTATTATATGTAAGTGTGAACTCGTGAAATAAAATATCTCCTTTTGAAGTGGACTTTGAGGTTTGTAACTTTGCAGATCTTTTTTATGCTCAAACAGCAACATTACAGACTAACTAAAGTTGAAAAAGTGAAAAAGCATAATAGGAGCCCTTTAAAGTGGGTTTTATGATTGTAAGTCATTCTCTTCAAATGCTATTGAAGTTAGAGACGTGAATACCAATGTCGTATGTAACTTTAGCGAATATCTAACGTCCAACATCAAGTCTCGCCTACAAGAATGTTATGTTTTCGGAAAACATAAATCGGATCAATTCTTTAAAAACTCTTAGCAATGAATCCGGGACGTCTACAAATGAAACTCGACAAACCACTTGCAGGTGATGGATTTATTGATCGGAAACTTCTGAACCAAGCGTGTTTGAAGCATACATATGTACAGCGTTTGATCCTCTAAACCAGTGGTCTGGAACCTATGGCTCGCGAGCCACAGCTGGCTCTTTGACAAAAATCATGTGGCTCGCAGGATCTCTCACCCTTTACCAACAAATGATCTTTTACAAAAACTATACATCACTAGAGATCAGCAATTCCTTTGTTGTAGAGACCACATAAGATGATAAAATGTTTAAAATAGTAATAAATTTTTTGTACTGGCCAAAGAGCGCGTTCAGTGCTGTTCGCGAGAGTCATGACCGCAAACCACTGACGTGTCTATAGGGCCTTTCGCACCACGGGAACCTTTTCATAGTACCAGAACTAATTGTGGAACTACCCACTTTTTGGCGTTTTCGCACCGCCGGAACTGGGTGCGATTTTAGTACCGGACTGCCTTTTTCGAGAACCAAATTAGCTCCTATTCCGGAGCAGGGTCTAACCAGCACAACTGGTACTAATCGTGACATAAGTAGACATTGATTGGCCAAACGCATATGAAAAC